GGTTTTCATTCTAAATCACAGTGAATTCAAATTTAAAACATAACAATAATATTCAATATAAGCTTTAAAGTTATCTTACCACAGGCTGTTTTGTCAGAGTTTGGTGTCAATCCAGCGTCACATGTCTCACAGCTTGTCATAGCATCATTCCGATATGTTCCTTCTACACACGGCTCTGGAATTATAACGTTACAACTGGCAAATCGTAGTGGAAAGGTGGAAGATAAGAAAATCGTTATTATATAAGTATTTAAGTACAGTTCAGATGTGTTACAATAACATTAGATAAACAATATGTGAAAAATTAAATATCCACATGCAACCACGGTTTTCTGATAGAATTATTACCACCCAGACTCTTACGGTTCTTGTCTTTTCGTACCACGAATTTGCCTTCTTGATTCTAAACCCTATCTGGCGCCTTATCCTTATCCCGTCTTAACCCTTACCCTATCTTTGCCCATCTATATTCTATATAATATATAGATCTAATCATCTCAGCTCGGTTCTTGTTAACAATTCTTACCACATTTAGTTCTCCCTGAGTTTCTTTCCTGGCCAAGTTGACAAGTTGTACACAAGGCTGCTCCTTCTGAACTGATCGTCTTATCAGGACATTCTTCACATGTGTTCATATCAATGTTCTTGAAACTTCCAGCTGGACATGGCTCTGAAGAATTAGGAATTCTTTAAGCAGCAGATCGTTTGAACTATCTTATTAAAAAGTTATTGTGAGTACCAATATCCTCGGTTTTCATTCTATAGCACAGTGAATTCAAATTTAAAACATAACAATAATATTCAATATAAGCTTTAAAGTTATCTTACCACAGGCTGTTTTGTCAGAGTTTGGTGTCAATCCAGCGTCACATGTCTCACAGCTTGTCATAGCATCATTCCGATATGTTCCTTCTCCACACGGCTCTGGAATTATAACGTTGCAACTGGCAAATCGTAGTGAAAGATAAGAAAATCGTTATTATATAAGTATTTAAGTACAGTTCAGATGTGTTACAATAAGATTAGATTTAAAACAATATGTGAAAAATTAAATATCCACATATTCCACCTTTCCACGGTTTTTCGAGGAAATTATTGCCACCCATGATACTCTTGCGGTTCATGTCTTCTCGTATCACGAATTTTCCTTCTTGATTCTAAGCCCAATACTAATTCAAATTGTGATCAGTCATTGACTCATTAGGGTTAACGCTAAAAATTCGCCTCTTCAACAAACTATGAAGCCCAATTGCACATTGCACAATGCACATACTGTTTAAACTCTAAAAAATATATCCTGAGTTTGTTTGGTAAAATACCTTTCTGCTTATGACTATGTGCAAGATATTTTGTAAAAGAATAAAAACATCTGTTTTAATCGATAATTGTTTCAACCAGTAGCAGCTGAAAATTACTTCTTTCCATGATGTCTACTACAAAATATGCAAGATTTCTAAATTATAATTAGCTGAAATTATAGTTAGCTAATAGCTATTTTGTATTCCGCTATCGCCAATATACTTATAACTCTACCTTGAATGAATGTGATTGAAAAGTAATTGATAAAATTATGACCACTTTATTAAGTTATAATTAACAATATGCTAACTATCCTATATCCCATATCCTATATTATATGTGTTTATGTTAAATAACTAAATAACACACTTGAAATTTAGACAGAAAACACCTTAATCACGAGCTTACGAGAAAATCAGCAAGTTTGCTTATTCATAAATTAAAGTTATTGTTTGTTAAACCAATGCTTGTTGATAATAGTCACCTGGTTGTGGTCCGTAGTAATCAGATGCTGTGTCTTGGGAATGGAAATATATCTTTGTCATGTATCTGTTCCAGTACGTGCTCCAACTACTGTCACGACACGTTGCTTGAGAGAGCAGTATGTTGAGCACCTCTACCTCGTTACAGTGTATCACTACTCTAACACCTGCAGTTCAGGTTAGACTGATACGCCACACCATGTCAGTAGCAGAGGGGGGATTAACAGGGAGGTTAGTCCAGGATGTGAAGCACCAGTTGAGGTAGTATTTTGGAGTAGAGCTGCAGTAGAGCTGGACTATTCCTGCATACTCTCCCCCAGCAGAGTAGAAGTACACTATCATCTTATCGTCACTCCCCAGCACACTATTAGTTTTAATTTCTAAGGGTGTCGACTCAAGATCCCACTCTATTTTCACATCTAGCTGCACTGGTAACCAACCTGTTAATTGTATGTTTAACTCATAACTACTGAGCAACGATTTATGTTAAATAAATAATTGTACCTTATTATTTAAAATATTTCATGTTTACACGAATGTATCTTCTAATAAAGATAGGTGCGTGAGCCATACTATTATTTTACATTTTTGGCTATATTATAAGAGAAGTAATCTATTAGCTTATTAGGGATTGTTCACATTTTATTCCGTAAGCTAGCACTCTCGGAAGTACACAAATTTCAGGTCTCGGTATTAATTTTCTGTGCAGTACAAGTTCATTTCATCATTTAACACATTGCATTATTCATAACCTAAATAATATTTATCAATCACATACCCTAGTTTAGACCTCAGTTTTGTTCGAGCGGGACCAAAATTGAATGATATATGATATTAGAGTTGAGAAGGTATCATAATTCATATCTAATCTGGATAATGGACTATTCCACTATATTTCCATTCGATAAAATGATAGCACTTAGTTTGGTGAAAAAGAAACAATATATTACCCTTATCTGCATTAGAACTTGTAACAGTCCGGAGTAAGATCAGTATTATCATCATCTTGTCACTATCGGGAAACCTACACAATAACAAAATAAGACGGATGTTCAAATCTGAACTACAAAAACAGATTCAATCATTAAAAAAGTAATTGATTGAAGTAGAGAATGTGCCATAATTGAATGGCATTTTAAATTTCGTTGTAGTTGGCGAGCTCTGTTTTTAGCATGAAAAAGCGATCTAGTCACTGTGTGTGATCGTTGTGATCACTGCTAACTGTAACAAACACGTGACTGAAATTGGACCAATCTTGCTGTAGTGACTAAGAATAAAATGTATATAAATTGCGGTGATTGACTGAAACCTTCGGTCAAAAGTCCAATAAAAGCTGTCAAAGTTTTGTAAATTGTGGCAAATGGCAAGTACTACCGGCAATCCTAAGAGATATTGAGTGGATCTTAGATTCAAATATATATATAATATAGACCCAATATTGCGCAACAATGATCCAAAGTAGATCAAAGTATAGCAAGTGACATCGTTTCACTGTCTATTCTCTAACCTAACCAAGCTGGATAAAAAGAGAACTGTCACAGTTTACTGTGTCGCAATCGCAAGCTGCACAGACGAACAGAGTTGTCGAGCTTTAATTCTATTTACTATCTGCTATCTACTATCTCATCAGTTGTTCTTTATCTGGAACCAGAATATTTGAGAATATAGGACACGTGACGTCTCTCTCACACCCTTACTGTATATGTTTCTTTCATCAGAATAATATGCTAATGAAATGGTTATTAGGTTATTGTTAATGTATATTTCAAGATTTAGTTCGCCGTAGTAAAGTATTCTCTCGTGTTATTAGTGCTTGACAAGTTAACCAACATTTTGTTTGCTCAGTTTGTCCAATACCCTGTATCTTTACAACTGGGCTTTTGTTGAAAATTTCAGATATATTGATCATTATTAGAGGGCATTGTTTTGATTTCAAGCCTGGTACTTTTAGTCGCTATGATCCCTGTTCAAACACATCGTACTTTCTACGAATGAAACATTTATGACAATCCTCCACATCAGCTAACGTGTTGAGTAATTCTGCAACTCTCAGTTGAGCATTCGAGAGTTGGTAGGATAATAGGGAGTCTAACTACAAATATTGTAGAGCTGTAAATACGCACTAGAAGACACACTACTAGTATTTATAAAAGAGTTTCTTGAAAAACACGATTTCTTCTTCGACCTACCTCTTTTCAGGGCCCAATGTATGTGTCCCCAAAGTTCGATTGGGCAAGCTTAATGGAAGTGAAACGTAAACACAAATTCGGCAATTAAATCGTTGAACCATAATATATTACATACTTTATACCCAACAAAATTTGTCTAGCCATATTCTTCGTTTAGATTGGCAAGATAAGCCAGGGACGTAGCCAGGATTTTTCTTTGAGGGGGGCTGTCGGCGAGCGAAGCGAGCCGACGCGTCCAATCAAGCTGCGCAGCGAGCGAAGCGAGCAAGCTGTGGCAGGGGTCTGGGGGCGCAGCCCCCAGCGGGGTCCAGGGGCGGAGCCCCTTGGCGGGGGCCAGGGGGGCGCAGCCCCCCGGAAATTTTTTGCGAAACAGGGTGTTTTAGACGACATTTGGCATTAAAGAAATTTGTAGGACAGCAATAAACTGGGATTGAAAAGAATCAAGTACTCACGTAAATTTGGTAACTTCACAACAGCAATCTGCATTCTCCAATCAGAATTTACGACTTACTCAGGCCTCATCGTCTTAAGATTTTTACATTTCCTACGGTCTAGGGGACACTATTGACTATAATTATAGAAGTCTTCTAGAATGTTTGCTTGGATTTAATGACATATATTTACTAATCCACAGTTCAAATCTTTGACTGACTGCAGTCATAAACACAGCCCAGTTACCAGGCGACCATGGGGACTAGGGGGCTTATCTTTTTTCTGGGGTTCGATTTTTTCCGGGGGGGGCTGCCGCCCCCCTAGCCCCCCCCCCCTGGCTACGTGCCTGAGATAAGCCTGTTTTTGGTCTCCCGAACTCGTACATGAATTTCCATCCAGTTTGGACAACAAAATGGCAGAGTTATGAGCCAAAAACCATATGCCCATATTTTGGCATATATGCACCAAACCGGTGGTGTCTGCAGGCCCTAACTTATTGATTAAATTTCAAATTTTTTGAATGAGACCATTTGAAATGAGGTCTTAGGCTCCGGCTAAGATGAATTTACTCTCATCCACTTATCACTTCTTATTTCAGGGCTGGACCAAGAAAAGTTTTACAGGTATGTTCACCACCTTCAAAAAGGGTTTTCGTATCAGAATAAGAATTGCTGTTATAACAGATGAAGTTTAACTCCGATATTCTCATTATTAGCACCATATTATTGCTTATCGTAGAATCGACGTTCGGTGTTGTCCACAGTCACATCACACATTGACATGATATTTTTCGTCGAAATTTCTGGTTAAAGCCTTTATTTGATTGAAGATACAAATCCCTCGCCTGTTGATGAGATAGTGAGAGGCATAAGTTCATTTCCAGCGCGGCCAGGCAACGTTTTAGAAGCGAGAATGAATTATCGGCTCGCTCCGAAGATGCAGCAAGGGAGCTCCGATTGAAATCACTTTCTACTATGGCGCGAATCCAATTTTGCTAATAACTTTTTCATTTTCAATAACGAGTGTAACACGCGCGCGCGTTTCATTCGCGCGCCATTAAATGTGCTCAAGTTTGTTAATTTAGGACTGCAATATATTTATGGGCACTCAAATGTGTATATTATGCTTTGGTCTGCTTCGCTCTGAATTCTGATATTGATTCCATATGTATGCCTTGTAAACAAGTTGATTCTCAGAAAGTATTAATTTGTCACTTCAGGACAACTTCCCGGGAATTTGGAGAAAATAGCAAAATACGGCCGGAACAGTCAACCTGACAATTGGGAGTCTTTTGTGGAAAACTCACTGGCAGGTATGGCTTTATGTAAAATGTGCAGATAAGAAGTAAGAATGATCTCCAACCCCCGTTTGGTTGTACTTTATATTATACACAGTACAGTGTACAAACGAACATGTAACACCGTTGAGAGCACCAGTCTTTTTACTACGTACTTTTTACTACGTATTTGTTACTACGTACTTTTTGTGATACTGAAAAGACAAACTGCCGCAGGAGTACCAGAACAGAAAGGAGCCTCTAGAGGGGGCTACTACCCTGTTATCCCGGGATACGGTAAAATGAAAACCGACACCAGTCAGGACTCGAGTGAACTGAACGAGATACCCTGGCCTACTGATATAGGATGAACTAGAGTTATAATAGTAAACTTTTTGGGATAGAAGTTAAATGAGTTATTCAGTTTGTTTTCAGTATCAAATATATATTATGTTGGTTATAAAAACCTAACAAATAAGTAGCAATGATTTAATTATCAGTAATTATAACGGAAAGTGCGTATCAGATGGTAAAGATTTCAAGTGAACAAAAAGTGATCGTTGATGTAATGATATATATATCGCTGCTTCAACAATATGATATTGTCGCTCATCATTTAATGATTTTCAATTTCAGTTGTCCAATATGAATATCTTATACATCATAGCTCATAAAATTCCGGGGAAAAAACAGTTCGATTATACAATTGTAGGTTTAATCTTCAGTCTTAAAGTCCGGGCCAGTTCATCGAACCCACGTGACGTCCACTGTGATCCCCTCGTGGTGTTCCAGCCTCCAGATTTCCCCGTCAACGGGTGCTTTGTGAGGCTTGGTAAAGGGTGGGTGCTTCTTGTCCCTGGATATCCGCTTTGAGTGAACTGAAGTGTACATTTTGTTAAATTCAAGAGTTGTAAATATTTAATTTTTTGTATACATAATACATCGATTTTATTTTAATTCCTCTCTATTTTATTTGTTGGGATTGGTTGTTGTTTCACGTAATATTTTAAAATCAGCCCCAGTCCCGTAGTAAATATGCAGGGTCATTGACAACATTTCATGCACCGTAACATTCACTCTACCATCTAGTATCGGGTATTATATCGACCCCATGGTGTGTACAAAACTGCCCCGGTCACATGACAAAGTTGAAAGTGGTCAAACGCAAATGAGTTTGTTTATTGTTTGTTGAGGCCTGTCCTTCACATCATGTGCAATATATACCAGAGTCGGCCCCCGCGCGCGCGAATGAAAGCATTTGCGAGTGCTGATACGAAGGAAAAAGGTCGCGCGCTTGCCTACTTATCCTTTCGTAGACCGTATTTGCACCTGCGACAATGTTAATCATAGTAACGAACGGTTTGGGTAAATGCCAACTCACCGATTCTTTTGTATGGTGGCTTGAAGTCCTCCTTGAGAATATCATAATAGCAGAACAGTGAATTGAGCAGATGATCAGCCAGGGGGGAGTGAGCAAGGTTTAATGAGTCCATGGCAGCTCGGAATTGCCCGCTAGGTCGACCAATCGACACTTGTAAAACTGAAGTTTCTACGTGGTACAAAAACTGAGGAATAAGGTAATTTAGGAGATAATTTAGGAGTTTCCACAAACCAAAGTGAATGAAATAATATCAGCTAGCTATTTTATTTAGTGATATGAATAACCGCCCTATAAATAAGGCAGAGGGTATGCAATGTTGTGTGTAAAGTTGTAATATCCTGATAATTGATGTAGTTGCGAATATTAGCAAAATCACTTCGTTGTTTAACAAGTACAAACCATGTTAGGGTCGGTAGCCAACAACTCCAACACGATGACAGTTGCATCTGGAATATTCCTCCCTTGGTGCAGTAAATTAGCCAGAGTCAGAAGAGGCACAGGTCGGTTCTCTAAATCCACTACAGCGAGCGCGCGGCGCGTGCACTGCATGGCGGGACCAAGGTCGAATGTAAAGGTTCGGTGATACATTGCAGCAAGGTGGTAGAGTACCCAGTTATTTGGATCCTGTAAATAGAGAAGAGTTATTAGATTCAGTGACAATACTTTCCCCTCTCTCTCTCCACAGTCGTGTATAATTGGGAAAACCTTTTAGCCTTGACGGTTATCTTTTCTGATTTTACAAATGGCATGCAGCCAAACTACAATTATGAGATTCCTTTTGACGTTAAAAGTAAAAGGGAATTAAATGGTTTTCTCAATGGAGTTCAGAGCGTTTGTTACGGCTTAGATAAAGATAATAATAATAATGCTGATAATTGTTAAGATATGCCTTAAAAACAGCTATGCCCAAAGCCCATCGATGCCCAGTTGACCAAACGTTGAGAAATAAATGGTCCTCCGATGTTGATTTTAGAACAAGGTGATGCAGATGTCCTTTTGAAGTATGTTTGACAGACATCTGACAGCTCCTCTAAATATCTCCTTGAGATGAGACTGCAGAGCTCCTCAGCACCAGTGCTAACACCGTCATGGTAGAGCAGAGTAGAGGAAAAGTAGAGCTCCTCAGCACCAGTGTTAACGCCGTCATGGTAGAGCAGAGTAGAAGAAAAGTAGAGCTCCTCAGCACCAGTGTTAACACCGTCATGGTAGAGCAGAGTAGAGGAAAAGTAGAGCTCCTCAGCACCAGTGTTAACACCGTCATGGTAGAGCAGAGTAGAGGAAAAGTAGAGCTCCTCAGCACCAGTGTTAACACCGTCATGGTAGAGCAGAGTAGAAAAAAAGTAGAGCTCCTCAGCACCAGTGTTAACACCGTCATGGTAGAGCAGAGTAGAGGAAAAGTAGAGCTCCTCAGCACCAGTGTTAACACCGTCATGGTAGAGCAGAGTAGAGGAAAAGTAGAGCTCCTCAGCACCAGTGTTAACACCGTCATGCAATGGTAGAGCAGAGTAGAGGAAAAGTAGAGCTCCTCAGCACCAGTGTTAACACCGTCATGGTAGAGCAGAGTAGAAGAAAAGTAGAGCTCCTCAGCACCAGTGTTAACACCGTCATGCAATGCAATGGTAGAGCAGAGTAGAGGAAAAGTAGAGCTCCTCAGCACCAGTGTTAACGCCGTCATGGTAGAGCAGAGTAGAGGAAAAGTAGAGCTCCTCAGCACCAGTGTTAACATCGTCATGGTAGAGCAGAGTAGAGGAAAAGTAGAGCTCCTCAGCACCAGTGTTAACACCGTCATGCCTCATGGTAGAGCAGAGTAAAGGAAAAGTAGAGCTAAATCTAGATATCCAGGACTATTATAACAGACCAGATAAAAAGATAAACAGCCGTTGAGGTAGTCACTTTATTTCTGTTTACCGGATAAAAAGGGTTGAGAATATTAAAACACCTGACCACAACCAGCACACAACCAGCACACAACCAGCACACAACCAGCACACAACCAGCACACAACCAGCACACAACCAGCACACAACCAGCACACAACCAGCACACAACCAGCACACAACCAGCACACAACCAGCACACAACCAGCACACAACCAGCACACAACCAGCACACAACCAGCACACAACCAGCACACAACCAGCACACAACCAGCACACAACCAGCACACAACCAGCACACAACCAGCACACAACCAGCACACAACCAGCACACAACCAGCACACAACCAGCACACAACCAGCACACAACCAGCACACAACCAGCACACAACCAGCACACAACCAGCACACAACCAGCACACAACCAGCACACAACCAGCACACAACCAGCACACAACCAGCACACAACCAGCACACAACCAGCACACAACCAGCACACAACCAGCACAGAACCAGCACAGAACCAGCACAGAACCAGCACAGAACCAGCACACAACCAGCACACAACCAGCACACAACCAGCACACAACCAGCACACAACCAGCACACAACCAGCACACAACCAGCACACAACCAGCACACAACCAGCACACAACCAGCACACAACCAGCACACAACCAGCACACAACCAGCACACAACCAGCACACAACCAGCACACAACCAGCACACAACCAGCACACAACCAGCACACAACCAGCACACAACCAGCACACAACCAGCACACAACCAGCACACAACCAGCACACAACCAGCACACAACCAGCACACAACCAGCACACAACCAGCACACAACCAGCACACAACCAGCACACAACCAGCACACAACCAGCACACAACCAGCACACAACCAGCACACAACCAGCACACAACCAGCACACAACCAGCACACAACCAGCACACAACCAGCACACAACCAGCACACAACCAGCACACAACCAGCACACAACCAGCACACAACCAGCACACAACCAGCACACAACCAGCACACAACCAGCACACAACCAGCACACAACCAGCACACAACCAGCACACAACCAGCACACAACCAGCACACAACCAGCACACAACCAGCACACAACCAGCACACAACCAGCACACAACCACCACACAACCACCACACAACCAGCACACAACCAGCACACAACCAGCACACAACCAGCACACAACCAGCACACAACCAGCACACAACCAGCACACAACCACCACACAACCAGCACACAACCAGCACACAACCAGCACACAACCAGCACACAACCAGCACACAACCAGCACACAACCAGCACACAACCACCACACAACCAGCACACAACCAGCACACAACCAGCACACAACCAGCACACAACCAGCACACAACCACCACACAACCAGCACACAACCAGCACACAACCAGCACACAACCACCACACAACCAGCACACAACCAGCACACAACCAGCACACAACCAGCACACAACCAGCACACAACCACCACACAACCAGCACACAACCAGCACACAACCAGCACACAACCAGCACACAACCACCACACAACCAGCACACAACCACCACACAACCACCACACAACCAGCACACAACCAGCACACAACCAGCACACAACCACCACACAACCAGCACACAACCAGCACACAACCAGCACACAACCAGCACACAACCAGCACACAACCAGCACACAACCAGCACACAACCAGCACACAACCAGCACACAACCAGCACACAACCAGCACACAACCAGCACACAACCACCACACAACCACCACACAACCACCACACAACCACCACACAACCAGCACACAACCAGCACACAACCAGCACACAACCAGCACACAACCAGCACACAACCAGCACACAACCAGCACACAACCAGCACACAACCAGCACACAACCAGCACACAACCAGCACACAACCAGCACACAACCAGCACACAACCAGCACACAACCACCACACAACCACCACACAACCACCACACAACCAGCACACAACCAGCACACAACCACCACACAACCAGCACACAACCACCACACAACCAGCACACAACCACCACACAACCAGCACACAACCAGCACACAACCACCACACAACCAGCACACAACCAGCACACAACCAGCACACAACCACCACACAACCAGCACACAACCAGCACACAACCAGCACACAACCACCACACAACCAGCACACAACCAGCACACAACCACCACACAACCACCACACAACCAGCACACAACCAGCACACAACCACCACACAACCAGCACACAACCAGCACACAACCAGCACACAACCAGCACACAACCAGCACACAACCAGCACACAACCAGCACACAACCACCACACAACCAGCACACAACCAGCACACAACCAGCACACAACCAGCACACAACCAGCACACAACCAGCACACAACCACCACACAACCACCACACAACCAGCACACAACCACCACACAACCAGCACACAACCAGCACACAACCAGCACACAACCAGCACACAACCACCACACAACCACCACACAACCAGCACACAACCAGCACACAACCAGCACACAACCAGCACACAACCACCACACAACCACCACACAACCACCACACAACCAGCACACAACCAGCACACAACCAGCACACAACCAGCACACAACCAGCACACAACCAGCACACAACCAGCACACAACCAGCACACAACCAGCACACAACCACCACACAACCAGCACACAACCAGCACACAACCAGCACACAACCAGCACACAACCAGCACACAACCAGCACACAACCAGCACACAACCAGCACACAACCAGCACACAACCAGCACACAACCAGCACACAACCAGCACACAACCACCACAGAACCACCACAGAACCACCACACAACCAGCACACAACCAGCACACAACCAGCACACAACCAGCACACAACCAGCACACAACCAGCACACAACCAGCACACAACCAGCACACAACCAGCACAGAACCACCACACAACCAGGTCACACAATTCGTGAACACACTCCTCTTAACAGAAACAGTAGTTGCACAGTAGCTGATGAGTGGCAGGCTTGAGGGTACATCATTGTCTAGCACCCTAATAACCAGTGGAACTTGTACTAGGAATATAATGGCAGAGATGAAATCAGCTACACCATTGCGGAGATAAAGGGTAGATGAGAGAGTTATTTAAATCGATTTAAGGGGACATAATCTGTTCAAAGTTATCCATTAATTCAAATGATTCACGGAAAAGCACAGTCTTTCTGTATGTTTGTTGTAATCGAAGATCCTTAAACTCTTAAAGCAGCTAAGTTCAAATGTAGAGAAGTGAGAGACAGAGGCCTTGTATCCTGCAAGGTGATAATATGATATGGAATTATTACAATGGTGATATCTGAACCTCTAATCGTTCTTTAGAATATTAGCACTGCCCCATTGTTTCACTAAATGGCGATTAAGCAAGATTAGGCTATGTAATGGCTACCAAGTGTAGACACGATTCTCCTGAGTCTACGCCTATTCTCTCGCTTTCATGGGCATTACCATTAGGGCACCTAATTATATTAGACTTTGTGGTTGATTTCGCGAGACTAGGCTCTTGGATCAAGATGACAGATAAGGAGATCAGGGTTAGAAATAGAAGGGGAAAAGCATGAGGAACACAAGCTGAATGACATCTGGAAATCCAAACTTTCAAAGAGCCTTGAGATCCGATTGTTCATTGCGGCATGTGAATTGGAACTACTCTACGGATCAGAAACCTGAATACTGACAAAAGCTCTGTAGAAAATTTTGGACGGGAAAAAGATGAGACAATTGATTACTACTAGTATCTAAGTAACCCAAACAAATTGAACGATTTGAACATTAACTTAATATTAACTAATATTAACTAATATTAACTAATATTAACTAATATTAACTAATATTAACTAATATTAACTAATATTAACTAATATTAACTTTAATATTAACTTTAATATTAACTTTAATATTAACTAATATTAAATAACTACTTCAACTCCCCAATGTCTACAATCATGACAGTAACTAAGTTCAAACTAAACTTAAATGATATAGGTAATAAAGAGTTTAACAAATACAAACCTTCCTTAGACCCGCATCAATAGCAGCCCCGAGGGCCCTGACGTTCTTGGTAACCAACTCTAGCTCAGATAAGGGGAAATCCTCCAGAATGTGCCGCACATCATGTTCCTCCCGGTTAACTCCTGAGAGATCGTCGTAACACAGGTAACAGTTGTCAAGGTCCATGTGCGTGGCACAGTCGGGGGAGAAGGGGTGGTGATGATCTGAGGGTTTCAGAGCTTTCTGGATCCTGACGTTTATAGAGTTATTTAAAATGCACAATTGTTAGGTTAATTAATTGATTTAAAACGATGTCATGTTGTGAAATGTCTTAGACGCGCTATATTTTATTAGTAACCTTCTAAATACGAAAAAAAGATATTATAATAAATACTTATGAGTAAAGACAGGTTTCAACCTGCAAACGTATGTTAGTTTTGATTAAATACATTTCCACGTACAAATCTGATACAAAAGCCAATATAATGTAAATGTTTGTATAACTGTGTTACACAGTAGAATATGGAGTAGTTACACTTAACAAGGCAACATGACCTCAGCCTGCTGGCTACCAACTACTCAAAACTAAGAGTAGGCAGAGTCATCGATACACTGTAACACACTGGACTGCTGCAGTGTTACACACACACTGTAACACACACTGTAACACTGTAACACACACTGTAACACTTTAAACCTCAAACTTTTGCGCGCAATATCTCAGCAACGCAAGGTCTGATTTTTATGCAGTTATTTCCTTAGGAAATAATTTCCTACTTGTTCATCTCCAGCAGGTTTATCCCATATTATGTTAAACTTAAAAAATCATTTTTCCCCTCTGGCCTTAACTAAATATAAACTAAATGTATTTACTAAATATAAACTAAATATAAACTAAATATAAACTAAATATAAACTAAATGTAAACTAAATATAATAAACTAACGCGTGATGGTGTTTGAAGAGTGACGTCATGAGGGGCACATAAGGGTCTCCATGAGAGAATATGGGAGTGTACTGGTCACACATCTCCAGTCGCACAACGTTCCTCGGACTTGTGTCAACCTGTATAGTTAATAGTAATAGTTAATAGTTAATAGTTAGTCTGTATACATACATTAATACACGGGCTCCGGGATATAATTGTGAAATTTAAAAAGTACCGTAATACTTATATTAATAGATTAATAGATGAGAAATTATGGAAGTGAATTGTAAAAAACATTGAATAAAACGATCCAGGAATTGGGTTAAGACTACATATTACTTTTTATCAATTTACCTTGAAGAGACTACATATATTACTTTTTATCAATTTACCTTGAAGAGACTACATATATTACTTTTTATCAATTTACCTTGAAGAGACTACATATTATATTACTTTTGTTTAATTTACCTTGAAGAGACGCAACACCCAAGAATCTTCCCCAAACTTCATCTCCACTGCGTTCTCAACCGAATCAAGGTTTGGTTTGATATTTTCCTCTGTGAAGAATAATTTTAATCAAAATTAAAGTTTATTGGTTAGTACTTTAACACAGAGGCAACATATGTGTGCGGTAAATAGTGCGATCCCACATCTACCTAAAATTGTTTTATGTGCAAAAAAGACTGTGATTAAGCTGAATAATTCGCCAAATTTGCAGCCCTTAGGTACTCTCAGGTTGAATTATTCAACAGCGTAGTACATAACGTTGCATTAAACGATTATTTAGTTTAACACATCAAATGACTTATAAGGTTAAAGTATTACACCAAGTTTCCTAACAATTCAAGTTGTAAAATTCTAGAATTACCCACATAAAAGCTTTAACAATTGGATGGGCATGATTACTGGGGCTAGTTGAGCTTAATTGATGCAGGGTATTCAATATTGTAATTGTACAACATCAGATTCCAACACTACCGTATGTGTGTATTTAAAGCTAAAGTGCCTGCAAATTGTATTATCTAAACGTAACTGAAGTGGCTCAATTTCAATGTGTTCAGGGATTGCGGTCCAGCTTGAAGAGTTATTCATCTACCAAGATTCATCCTCTGTATCGGCCGATGCAGATGGTGCGATAAAAAGCAGGAAATGGGTCAATAGTGCGATTCTGCACCCACCGCAATTATATGTTGCCTCAGCTGCAAAAAGTCAAACTAGCAACAAATCACTCACCTCCTGTAATTCAGATGATGTGTTGAATTACACATTAATTTAGAAAACAATGCTAGTTAGCACTTACTCCTGATATTCTTCATAGTTTCGAATATATCCCTGGTTTGAAGATGCTCCGTGATCAGTTTAGTCAGAGTTTCCTGGTCCATGGCGGGCCGCTCCAGCAGTGGCGCGGTGGTCAGACCCACTTTGCGTGCTTTCCCACGCTCCGTTATCGTCATACTTTGCACGTACGGAGGTATGAATATCTCGGCACTTCCGTCACTTATTAACTGAGGAGAAGATAATATTATGTATCTAGTTTGGATAATATGAGCAAAGGAGACTTGATATCATCATAATATAACAACAGCATGCACCTTTAAAATTCCAGATACGATATTATTTGTTTTTCGCCGTTCTTAGCAAGGTGATTGTTTGAAACAGTCACGTGATAAAACTCATGACGAGCTTTTCTCTGCTTATTATATATTGTTTCCACATGCAGTTACACCTTATAGAATCGTGATATTAAATTATGTATTGTATTATGCTCTGTATTATTATGTATTGTATTATGCTCTTATGTATCGTATAATTCTAAAACACACCTCAATAGTAGCACTACTAGCTGATTGTTCCCTGATCACTATCTTAAGTTCCTTATCAAGTTTCTCCTTCACGTCTCCTGTGATCTTACACTTGAGATGGTACCAGCTGTCATTCTCACCACCCCTCGCCACCTCGCAGTCGTTATCTGTTCCCAGGTTCTTAAACTGAACTTTAACCTGTCATTGTAGGGGAAGTTGTGTGATACACTTGTCGTGAACTTGTTATGAATTTTTCATATATTAATGTCTGAATTTTTCATAATTTCGCATTTGAAGCACTGGATTCTGGAATATATAAATATGATACAACTAACCTGTTCCTTATTTGGAAATATATCAGCAGACAATTTAACTTCAACATTCTCAGTGTCAGGTTTAGCTTCCTGGACCACTTGCTCTGTCCCCTCTCCAGGAGGGATAACCTCTGCTTCAGGATCCAACAACTCTTCTAACAGTGTCTCCTCTTCCTCGTTCAAATATTGTCTCCTCTTCTCTCGTTCTACAGAAATGTGTAAAATGTAACATTGTAACGGACAAATCAGATGATTAGCGCTTATCCAGGAAATATTCAGTGAAAAAGCGGGTAATTTCGAGTAATTCGCAGATCTGGGTCAGGAGTGACTAGGCGGATAAGTTTACATAATTCGAAAGAAGAAATTTCGGGCAGAAAATACAAATAACACGTACCTTCATCATCTAAATCCTCACTAGACTCGAACCCATCCTCATAGGTATAAACAATTGGCACATCAGTGGGGTCTGACAGCTGGTTCTTTATCTGTTCCACCAGTTCCTCTAGTTTTAACCGGGTAGATTTTATCCAGTTTATATCTTTCTTTATGTCGTTCCCGCTCTTCTGTTTCTTGTTGTTCTTGGTTTCTAGAAGCTTCTCCAGATCATCTACCACTACTTCTACCCTTCTTTCAGACTGTTGGAAATTAATGGATAATATAATATGAACACTAATCCTGGGCAGACTTAAACGTCACTCTGGATATATTGCAATAACGTGACAAAATTAGAAGTACGACGTATTCAAACAACTAATATTGTCTTTTTTATGGTGGAATGAAGGTATACTGACACAGTATGAAAGGTAGAGATAAGAAAGTACCTGTTGTTTGTATTTATTAGGACTGAGAGTATTCTGTATCTCCTGCTGTTCCAGAACTAGTTTATGAGTGTTCCTCACAGCATCCTCTGTAGTTGTAATCTGCTGTATGATATGAGCAGGCAGAGTAGAATTCCGCAGATTGGAGAACATGCGCTCCTGGATACCAATATAACGGGTCTCTAGCTCGTGGCGCTCGCGTAACTTCTGGAGAGTTGCGCGCAGCGCGTTGTTCTGTTTCTCCATGCGCTGTATCACGCTGCTGTAGCACTCCATAGTAGAGAGGCGCTCGTCGGCAAGCGGGAAGGGGCCCAGTTTCAAGGTCTCATTATACAGGTCTAGAGATAGCTTGTACTGCTCTGATAGCTGAAATCAAGTAATTGTGTCATGTTCAATCTGGAATGAGCTCGAATAAATTTATTATCATGAATTTTTATGCAACACAACGATATTATTTACATTATACGGCAAAACAAACAAAATCAGTTTAAATTTAGAACCATTCTTACAATGAGTATTAACTTATCCAAAATTTTAACAAAGTGAGGACCTTAATTAATAATGATTTAACCTAATATCATAGATGATGATCAGTATCACTAACTCCTACTTTAACCACCAGAACACAATGTAACTCACTGTATAAAGGTTACCAGCACTCCATAGTTTGAGTTGCTGTAGGTAGGGGATCAGTGCACTGTGTTCCATGACCAAGGCTGCGTCAGAGTCGTGTCCCGCGTTAGACAGTAAGTTAGCTAGCGTTACAAGCAAACTGTCTGTCTGTCCTTTAGCGTCTCTGTATGTATCAACTCGTGTTAAATTAAATATGATTACTTTTAGTTCCCTTGCCACAATAATCAACAAGTTTGATTGAGGAAGAGATATGAGAATCACGCTATTATATCATTTTAGTAATGTTGTTACGATTTCTATTTTGAGAAAAATTAAGATTATTATTTCAGATTTCATTAAAACCAAAACACAGAACACCACGTACAAGTTACAAACTTACATAGTGAACTGAGCATAGTAGAGACTCTTGAAGATGCACTGAAGAGCTGCTGCGTCGTTACCTTGTAGTCGCCAGTAGAACGACGCTCCTAGATACACGTGCCAGTTCTCACTCTCCTGAAATAGAGGTGAGTATGATAATCCCGAAATAGAAAAGTCTAGTGGTAAACTATCCATTTCAGCTAAAATCGACAGTTTACCACTAGACTTTACTTATCTATAGAATCAGTTGCTATAAATATATAAATTGTTACGTAAATATATCACGTGAATCTTATGTTGTTTACCTGTACCTACAGTAGATTGCCATTACGACAAACAAGTAGTTATCTAGAATTATATTGTGTTAACGGATGTCACGATAAGTTGCCAAATATATTCCATTGTGTGTCATGCAGACAGAAAATGCTTCAAATATTTTACCAGTAAAATAATCAGGCAAATTAGAGGTAAATTTGTGAGTAAAATTTAACAATTAGTTGAACATTGAATAATATCAAAACATTGATTATAATAGGAGGGTCGGTCATGGTTATCTAACTCCTCCCATGTACTTTTGTAATGTAAAATCTTCCTTCTCTTGACCCCTTGATATCTAGCTGAACCCCAGACCCCCCCCCCCCCCCCCCCGGGCCCCCAGCCCCTGTAACGCTGCTTCCCCTTACCTCGTTCAAGTGTCTATGTAGACAGTGACCAAACAAAGCAATATCATCTGTAGGTACAAAAGGAAGAAGAGAGTAGGTGGGTGAACCTGCTTTCTCTGTGATGTGGATTACACCTGAAAAGAGAATTTGTTGTAATTTCTGTATTTACTAATTTCTCGTGCAGTTTTAAGACCAAAATATGGTTATAAATTACTTGTAGTGGTTTTTAGAAATTGAAGTTTTATGGGAAATTGAAGTTTTATGGGAAAATCATTATGATAGCTTTAAATGCAATTGAATATGTCACCATGAATACCAAGTACGTATATTTTGATACAACATAATTAATTACCTTACGAGACATATTTATACAAATATGGGAATTTTTTCCCGAAAACCGCAACATTTCGTACCCCAAATTAAATCATGGTAATCCGGATAACCAGAGAATCAAAACACGGCATCGTGCCAACTCTAGAGGATATCGAAAGATTGTCAATAAGAAAAGGGATGACTTCTTCAATAGCCTTAACAAGAAGATTAAAAACGGTAAAACTATATCCTGGAGAGATTTCAAGAAGCTTAAGAACTACAAGAAAGAAGAAGTCCAAACAGAAACGGAGCAACTCAACTCTTTCCATCAGTTCTACTCTGAGCTATATTCTGACAATCATCCAACCGTAGACACTCTCACTAAAAGAGCTCTCCTCGAAGAAGCCAACGCCCTATCCGAGGGATCTGCCCCTAATGAGTCACTGAACAGCCCATTTACATCGGATGAGCTGAACGCTGCGCTAGGCGAACTCAAATCGGGCAAAGCATCTTCTTTTGACCACATCAGCAACGAAATGCTCCGGGGTCTGAGCATGAATATGAAGTCGCTCCTCCTCAAACTCTTCAATTTGTGCCTGGAGACAGGAGTCTACCTCTGGAGCAAAAGTGTGATCACACCAATTCACAAAAAAGGGTGCATCAGGAACCCTGACAACTATAGAGCAATAGCAGTCTGTAGCTGTATCGGAAAACTGCTCTCTACGATGCTGCTATCTCGGCTCGTTAATCACCGCCAAATCTCACATCCTGATCCACCCAACCAAGCAGGCTTTACTAAAGGAAGTCAATGCAATGACCATATATTTACGCTGATGTCCACCATAGAAAAATACAAGAAAGTCAAAAGTAAAATATAAGCAGTGTTCATTGATCTTCGCAAAGCTTTCGATCTAGTCTGCAGACAAGCTCTCATGTTCAAACTAGCCTGCTATGGTGTCAATGGTGGCTACTACGACATCATCAAAGACATGTACAGCAAATCAGAGGGTCATATCAAGATGAATGGTAAAATCAGTGAAGCATTCAAGATCCTTAAAGGGACTGAACAAGGACACCCACTTAGCCCTGAGTTTTTCAAAGTTTACTTTAAAAAGCTTTCTGACCTCCTTAACGAAGCTACTGCGAACTGTCCGACACTCGCTGGACTTTCAGTGACTCACCTAGCGTGGGCTGATGATCTAGTAATCCTCGGCCTAGATCCTGAGTCTCTCCAAAAGTTGCTTACGATTATTGGGGACTACTGTAACGAATGGGGTCTGGAAATCAATATCTCCAAAACCAAATTCATGGTCTTCAATGGCAAAGGACCAGACATTCCAAATTGGCGTCCATCCATTCACGAAAGAGATATCGAGATGGTCTCCAGCTACTGCTATCTTGGAATTATTATAAGCAGCACAGGGAAATTTCGGCAAGCAACTGACTCTCTATACCGTAAAGGACTTGGAGCTTACTTCAGCTTGAGAAGCACTATAGACCGGAGATTCGTTGATGCATCCTGCCTTAACAAATTATTTAACACCCTTGTTAAGCCAATTCTACTTTACGGCTGTCAAGTTTGGGCCCCGGTTCTACCCACCGTCAATAAGGTCCTCTCTAGCTTCAGCAAGTTTCACAATCTTGATCATGCGGTCTCCCACATCGCTAAACAGCAACTTGAGCAAGTGCATCTACGACACCTAAAATACCTTCTTGGTATAAACAGAAGGGCAGTCAATGCTACAGCCTGGGGAGAAACTGGCTCATACCCAATCATTATTGAAATGTTGAAACTGAGTACTAAATATTTCAAAAGAGTTATGAGCCTCCCCTCTACACAACTAGTCAAAGCTGCAATGACTGAGCAGATTAACCTCAAATTATCATGGTTTGTAGGCATCGAATCAATCATCAAATCATTCAACAACATCGACCTTCTTGAAAGGAATTCATCGTCGCTGTTGAACGCAACCTCACTCGCAGACTCCTGCAGCCCTGAATTAATCACAGAGAACCTGAAAAAACAGTTCCGCGATTCCTGGGGTTCTCTTGTGAAAGATTCTAGAAAGCTATCATTCTACAGTGAAGTCAAAACAGAATTTGCATGGGAGCCATATCTAACCTATGCTAGGTCTTTTCAGGACAGAAGGGCAACCACACAGATTCGGTCCAGTTCTCATCACCTTAGAATTGAAAGGGGGAGATATGACAAAACTCCAATTGATCAAAGGACCTGCAACTATTGCGAGCTTAACACCAACCAGCTATTCATCGAGGACGAGAATCATATGCTCCATTTCTGCCCCCTAGGGAAAGGTCCTAGGGACAAATTTCAAAATCTCAGTGGAAACCTACTCAACAATAATGGTAATGGTAGCTTCAATCTTGCCTCCACGTTCATGTCGCAGTCTGATTGCAAGGATACTCCCAGTGATGAGGACGTAAGTTTGATCAAACTCTCAACCAGCACCATTAACAAGATCTACAGACTAACCCTCAACTTCAAAGACAGTCTGAAAGCAGATAATTAGTTTCCTTTCTCAGTTTTCTATTTTTGTATTCTTTCTTCTTTTTTTCCTCTCCTCCCTTTTTTTTCCTCCCAGCTCTGAATCTGTGATGGATGTGATGGAAGGCTTGCGTTCACTTTTATCCCTACATGGGCTCCCGGCCGTGCGTCCATGTAGGAGCTGTTGGGCCTTCCGAGTGATACGGTTACAGTGACTGCTAGTATAGAAAATATGAAGGTTCCACCATGCCAGCAGACATAAGTATCGAAAGCAGGGCATTGGCTCGACCTCCGAGGTGGGGTATCCGTGAGGACCCTGGTCGTAATCAGCTCTGCACTATTTCAGTGTATCCTGATGCCTGAAATCTCGGACACTGCCTACGTACGGGGTAGACAGCCACGGATGATTTTGTCTGTGAGCTTTTCATCACTTCCTGACATGAGCCAGACCTCAGCTGGATCCTTCCTTTTCCCTTTTCTTTACTTCCCGTTCAGTCTACCTCTTCATCATCAGTTTGAGTTGCTTCGCCTTGCATTCGAACTTTGCCTCCACAGTTCTGAGTTCACCACGGCACCTCTTTTGGATGCCTCCTGCCGGGCAACACCAGCTCTCAGACACTGGCTAACTTACCGCGCACGGTTTAGTTTCTGCGTCTTTTCTGTGGCCGTGTAATCCGTTTTATGCCACCCTCTCTGCCGTTCTCGCGCTCACCCACTCCTCAGTGGGCTGTTCATTTGACAGAGTTACTGGCTGGCACTCCCATCATCCTCTCACTCACCATCACTGCCCAATCAAATTTATGCAATCAAAATCACTATACACCCATAATCATATGATCAAAACACAAAGCTTTGAAATATACTTTTTTCTGTTTGAGATTTGAATAACGTTACTGTAATGTTCCAAATTATATTTTAAATGTTCAAAAAAAAAATAGTAATTGAGGTTTTTTCATCTCCTTATTTTACAAAAATGAAACCCAATATTTGAGAAAATTAAATACAAAGATCTTCTCTGATCAGCTGTTTCATCTTGTAAACAATTTTTCCGGAGCCTTTGAAAGTTAGCCTCAACTTAACTTATAATCCTCCAGAGGGTATTATAGGAGACCGACAGTGTTTGTTATCTTCCACTACTCCCGAAATTTCACCGCTGTGGCCAATAAAGAAGTGACATCTGAGCAAGTGCTTATTTTTAATGGAACGTGTCCAAAATCATTTTTGAAGCAATTCATGATCGAATACTAGTGTTCATTAATTGTTGAATCATATTGATAACTTACTATATTGATAAGTTGATAGTAAATCGATAAAGTCATAATAAAACGTGAAAAAATAATTTGGGGAAAATAATGATGGTGACCTAAATTTTGGTAGTCCAAAAATATGGTGTGTTTTTTTCGAAAAATCACCGAATTTCGTACCATTTAAATATGTCTCGTAAGGTATCCAATTATTAATTACTATTCAGTAACTCCACAAACCAGGGATATGTCGATAGTCGCCAATAAAGAAAGTCTCCTCACTCTTAGTACAATCAGGAACATTGTTTGGCACCTCACTTCTACACATATACTGATCAAACCTTGTGTGCCCTTCATACTCCCGCTCTAGCGCTGGCAATATGGAGAAGTCGAAATCTGAGAGGAGACCTGACTCTAGACAGTCATTTTCTCCAACTTTATCTTCTGAGTTTAGCTGAGGATGATGGTTAATGTTAGTACAATACTGTTTTGTGGTGCAGCCAATTATTTATAATATATCCACTATTTAGGCACGGATAATATAGTATCTTAGATGATACTGATATATCTAGAAAAAATCTGCCGACTTGATTTCAGAAGAATTGCCCGTTCAACTTCATACGAGAATTACAATAAAAGAATAAACAAACCAGTGGCGCATCGTCAATTATATTTCGTTTGACAATCTCAAGTCTGCCTAGCAAAGAGTCTGCAGTCTTCACCAACTCATCTTGTTCCAGAACCTTCTGTAAACTGCTGTACTCTTTTAAATCGTACTCAGAGCGGTCCTGGGAAGGTTTTGTAGTCAAAAAATATAAGCTGGAACATTTGAGAACTGAAACTTTGAATCTTCCGAATCATTTATATACTTTGGTGTGCTCAAAGTTAGAATAAGCTTATGTATAATGTATATTTGTACATACCTTGGTATAAATATCGTCATTTTGTAGGACAAGATGGGTTACAGTTGATAGAACTGCTACCCAATTCAGTAACAGTACAACTTTACACAACATTCCTCACATAACTAGAAATACAGCTGAATGAAGTATTCAATGAAACAATAAGTTTTCAATGAAACAATAAGTTTTATTTTACATTCCTTTAATCATATATAAAATAAGAGAGCTTAAACCACGAATTAGTTAACTAGAAGTAAACTTGAGGAAACATTCTTTGGTGATTGTATATAATTATTTAAAAAGCTTTATTTGGTTGTTAGTATTTTTATTATGGCAAGTGGCTGAATTAAGTGAGACAAGGTCAGTTTCTCTTTTGTCTTAGAAAAATTTCTACTTTATAGTAGGTAATGCTGAGTGGCAGGAATGAGGGACCATAACGCTTGGGGCTAACAATGGCCCATATTACTAACCATTTTTTACTTTACTTTTACTAGATTTAAAAATAGAATATAATATTATGATAATAAGTAAATAAATTCTAAAACTTAAGACACACTTTGACATTGATGTACAATATGCATATGTACCCATCAAAGATGTACATTTCAGCAAGAATTGAATGACCTGTTTGCGTTGTAAATCCAAACAGATTCTTTTGGAGCCAATTATTGACTTTAAAAAGCAGCAACCAATCACAGTATTGAAGGTAAGCACTAAATGTAATACATTTGCAGTTCTGAAATAGTTTTAGTTTAATAGCCCTCTAAACAGATATCGCGCTAAATGGAATGGTCTCAGCTGACATCTCTACTACAACTGAACCTGAACTCTATTATGACAAAGGAGTTTAATGTTTGTTAATTTTGTTAACTGTTATGCAGCATGTTGCAGTATCTGACCTGATTTCATGCTTGACTTTTGTTACCCCCATGATATCTATATTATATTTTAAACTTGACGAAATTTCCCCGGAAACGGGGACATGAAGAAGAAAAACATGAAGAAGAAAAAACACCGAAAATCGACCTCAAAATGACCCTCTGGTGATGCCAAACCCAGCTCGCAAATGGAGTTGAAACCTCGCCATTTTTAGCAGGGTTGTAGAAAAAGGATAGGAATAGGCTATAGCATTCTTAGAATTTTGATTTAGGCTTTAGATTTTTTATAATTAACGTCGGAAGTGAGGTTAAATAATCGTTAGAATAATGGCGTTATTTAAGCAAAGGTTTACTGCGCTGTTGCGTAGCAACGTTAAAATGCACGTGCGCGAGCAACCACAGATTAACAACGCGCGTTGTTATGCTGTATGCTACGTCATAATTTCAAAACTAGCTCACATTTACGCTCACGCTATGACTTCTTATAACTTTGTTTGTGATTGGTATTTTTTGATGCGGTAAAAAGTATCGTTTTGGGAATCCGAATACTAACAACGCTGTCGCCATTGTTAGATAAATTCCATTATGTCTACAGTATAACAGAGCTATATGATGAAGAGAAATTAAAACATGACTGATTTTTAAAATTTCCTCGAACAAAGCTTTCGACTAGCGGGTTTCTTCGCTAGAGCTACACACAATGCTGACATTACGCCGCGCACACACAATCAACAAAAATATTGTTGTTTCCTAATTACGCAAATAACTTTGCGCAGTTAAACATCACGTGCCATTTTAAATGCCTGGCAATAATTCAATTGACTGTCATTCTCGATTGAAATATCTTCCAACGATTAACATATTTTACTCATCTGTTGTTGTTTTTCAATGCCCTTTCATGGATCTAGACCTGCTAAACGGAGATCTCTGCACAATCGATTTGCTGTGAGAGTTAAAGATATGAAAAAGTTCAGACACCGTGACTCATCGTAAGAACCTACATATATTTAACTTTAAACGTCGTTACATTACCATTCTTGCTTTATAAATATCATCTAAAATTTGTTGTATGAGTATCTGTATCTATCCACTTTAACATTAACTTTTAATTTCACTTTCAGTACCGATGACTCGATCCTTACAGATCAAGATTCCCTGAATCTCACTCAACTTTCGCGGTGCCTTAACGTACCATTAATCTCTGCTAATCTAGACGAACATCCATCAAATTCTACCGGGTATTCGATTAACCCCCAAAATATGCGTTCCACCAGCGGTGGTGGAGACGACAGTGACAGCTCTGATTCTAATGACTCCGATTCTGGTAACTCTGATTCTGATGACTCCGATTCTGGTGACTCTGGTGACTCTGGTGATTCTGGTGACTCTGACGGTGATGACAATAACAATAGTGACAACGATTCTGACAGTATTCCCGATACACCTCAAGTTCAAACCAATACAAACCACTCACGCAACCACATGTACTACCGCTCAGGTACGTGTTGATTTGATGTATTATTATTGAACTTCATAATCGACAATTTAGTCATACAAATTCTTATCTACATGCATTTTATTAAATTTAGTGATGCAATACTGGCAGAGCACAATCACAAATCATCCCCCATAACGCTCAGGTAGATACAGAGGCATGTTAAAATATCTCGCCGCTCTACATTATAGTTCTACAGCATTTGTTTGTTTTAAATGCTGATGAAATCCGTCAACAGAGCAGTAACTTTGTCAGCAGAGAGTTAAATAACATAGATATTGACTTAGATTAGAGCGACAAAATTCAGGACGAAGAAAATCTCAGTTAAATGGAGAACAAAGAAGAGCCTTCGATGTAATAGAAGGTATGTGCTCAGGAAATTATCATACTACAACACTTTTTTTAGGAGCAAGCCCTTAGCCCGGGGACAGGAAAAAGCTTCCTCCTAAATACAGTGATAGCCCATCATCGGTCACAGGGCCACATAGTATTAGCAACTGCCTCTACTGCTAATGCGTCATTGCTTTTAACGCATGGACGCACAGTTCACTCTCAATTCAAAGTCCCGTTAAATATTCACCGTGACTCCATGTGTAACATCAACAGAGGAACAAGCCTTTCAGATCTCCTATGCAATACGCATATTATCATCATAGATGAAGTTACGATGCTAAACAAAATGGTCATTGAGGCAGTCGATCGTACTCTCCAGGACATAAGGAAAGTGTGCAAACCATTCGGTGGGATACCTGTGGTAATGTCGGGGGACTTCAAACAGTGCCTCCCAATAGTTCCGGGTCAAGGTAGAAACGGTATTTCCTCATCCATACTGAAGAGATCCCTTCTCTGGAAAGGCCTTGAAAAATGCACCTTAACACAATCGATGAGACTTAGACCTGGATTGGAATATTGGCATAAGTATCTTGAAGATCTCGGTAATGGAGTACTTAATAACATGTCTGATGATGTAGAACTCAAACACGTTGAAATAATGCCTTCCATCAACGAACTGATTAATCGCGTCTTTCCTGATCTTTACTCTACTCCATTGGATAATGTCATCCTTTGTCCACTTAATTCTTCAGTAAACGCAATCAACGACATGATAATTGACGAAATTCCAGGACAGTCAACAACGTTTGGATTTAGGCAATCCCATTCTACATCTCATGCAGTCAATTACTCTGTAGATTTAATTACAAAATCTCTTAAACTCAAGAATCATGTTCTAGGAATATTCATTGACTTAAGCAAAGCCTTTGACACTATCGACCATTCAACACTACTTATAAAATTAGAGGGCTGTGGAATTAGAGGAGTAGCAAATAACCTTATAAAAAGCTACTTAACAAATAGACTACAATACACCGAAGTTGTGGGAGAAAAATCAGACACCCTATCTATTCAATTTGGTGTCCCGCAGGGTTCAATACTTGGACCTCTCCTATTTCTCCTCTACATGAACGACATCTCAAACAGTTCTAAACTAGGATCATTTGTTACATTTGCTGATGATACCAATATATTTGTTGTAGGAAAAACAAAACGTGAGGCCTATGAACGTGGAAATAAGCTTCTTTCATCATTGCAGTCTTACATGCGAGCAAATAAGTTACATATAAATATGTCCAAGTGCTGCTACATACACTTCAAGCCTCCCATGAAAGGTTCTAAGTCAGAGACTCTATCAGATGATGAAGTAGGACTTACTATAGACAACTTTCCGATAAAAAAAGTTTCATCCACTAAATTCCTCGGAGTTATAATTGATGAAAACCTTTCATGGGAAGAACACATTAAAGCCCTTAAGCGAAATCTAAATCATTCCACTTCCACCTTATGTCGACTTCGCTGCTCCCTTCCAGAATTTCTACATCAACAACTATACTATACTTTGTTTGAATCCCATCTCTCTTACTGTATATCTGTCTGGGGTGGGGCAGCGAAGCATCGTATAAGCTCTCTGTTTACCGCCCAGAAGTACTGTCTTAGGGTTATGTTCGGTGATAGGGAGGCTTACCTTGATAAGTTTAAGACCTGTGCACGTACCAGACCAATAGGGCACCAAAGACTTAACAACAAGTTTTTCATAAAAGAACATACTAAACCGCTATTCAAACATAATAATATCCTAGCTATCCAAAATCTCTATACATACCACTGTTACCTCGAGCTCTACAAGATAATGAAATTTCGTGCTCCAATATCCTTACATGAAGGCTACACATGCTCGACAAGGAAGCCGACCCTACTTATTTGTCAGGCTGACCCACCTGATAACCATAATACAAGATCAACCAAAATTTTTAACATGATTACTCCAAAAATTAGAATGGATGACTTTACCATGAGTGTGATGTGTTTGCGGGGAAAGCTTAAACGTGCACTATTAAATAATCAACACAGCCACGCCCCGCTTGATTGGACAATCAAAGATTTTGACTGCAACAATATTGTCTTCGAAAGATCACTACTTGCTGGTCACACACATGTCAGCGAAATTCCCCTAGTCTAGTGTTTTCCAAGTCTTGTTCTGTGAGAAAAGTATGTGTGAGAAAGTCTTTAATAAAATAAAATGAATGTATATTTTTGAATTTTTAACATTTAATTTGATAATGCAGTATAAAGAAATTTTTAATTAGCACTGTATAGTTTAAGATATTTATATTAGCTTATTATAACCATTGATACAACGAACATAATTTTTCAACAGCTCTCCAATATCCATCCTAAAGTTGCATCTTATATCCTCAAACTACACAATTT